GGACATAACAACAGCAGAAGGAAAGGATTTTTAAGTTGGGTTTGGTTTGGGGTTTTTTTTTTCCGAATAAGGGGAAACAGTGGCATAGGTGTCAGGTCAGCCCAGCCGGCCTTCCGGAAGGCTTAAGCAGAGTGATATGCTGGAAGGTGATAAACTCTTTCCTGAAGTATTTTCCAAGTAGTCCAGCTGATGTAAAAAAAAGCTGTGTAGAGCTGCCAGTTTAAAATACGACCCAGTTATTTTCATGCTTAAACGAGTTATCAGTAGGATAACCAACCAGTTCTAACCAACTTGGTCAGCTTCTGGTCAGCTCTGACCTGAGGTTCATTCAGCCCTGAAGTGGTCAGGTACTTCAACTCGATGAACGTGGAAGGTCCAGAAATGATGACTACAGCCTTTTCAATATGTTAGGTTTAGTAGCGAGTGTTTCTGTATCGTTGCTATTGGCAACCCTAGGCGGTGTTACACATTGCTGCTGATGGTGTCTGCTTCTTAGCATTCACCTGGGGATGTGAATTTTTCAGCGTTGGGGAAGGTGTGCCTTGGTTCCACGGAGCCTCTGTACTCTTACGAGATGGAAGTAAAGCCTATTCGCTGACGGGCAGTTTGAGATGCCTGAAAGCTGGAATATGCTGCTATGCCTCATTCTTCCATCTATGCTTTTTCCATAACCTCTGGTGGCATTCTGGCATCCTGTGACATTGTACTGCTGTGGGAACCACTTAACCAATTAGTTAATTTGTTAATGGGGGTATTTTTTTAATTGCATATTTTGCTTTTGTTAGGAAAAGCTCAGTGGTTACAATTCCAGAGTAATTAATTCTGATGGCCCTTCAGATTGTGAGCAAATGGAAATTAAGGAGCCTGCAGCTTAATGAATGTACTTTTTTGTTTGTGTTTTGTTTGTTTTCATGGCGTGGAAGGAGCAGAAGTAGTAGAATGCACGTACAATGCAGTAGAGTTATGCCCCACTATAGCTGCCTTCTGGCTCTCATGCAAGTGCCCTGCTTCAGGTGATCTTTATGAAAGTGGATAGGTACCTTGGACATTGCTGGCAGGCTCTCT